CAAGCAGACCAAGTTCAAGGGCATGAAGAGCTACATCGCCTACAAGCTGGTGCCCAGCCACACCGGGCAGCAGGTGCACCGCCGCTACAAACACTTCGACTGGCTCTACGGGCGCCTGGCCGAGAAGTTCCCCGTCATCTCTGTGCCCCACTTGCCGGAGAAGCAGGCCACCGGCCGCTTCGAGGAGGACTTCATCTCCAAACGTCGCAAAGGCCTGGCCTGGTGGATGGACCACATGTGCAGCCACCCTGTGCTGGCTCAGTGCGATGCCTTCCAGCACTTCCTCACCTGCCCCAGCACGGATGAGAAGGCCTGGAAACAAGGCAAGCGCAAGGCGGAGAAGGATGAGATGGTGGGTGCCAACTTTTTCCTGACCATCAGTGTCCCCACGGGCCCTGGGGCCAGCCTGGACTTGCAGGAGGTGGAAAGCCAGGTGGATGGCTTCAAAGCCTTCACAAAGAAGATGGATGAGAGCGCCCTGCAGCTTAATCACACAGCCAACGAGTTTGCCCGCAAACAAGTCACTGGTTTCAAGAAGGAGTACCAGAAGGTGGGGCACTCCTTTAAGTGTCTCAGTCAGGCATTTGAGCTGGACCAGCAGGCCTTTTCAGCTGGCCTCAACCAAGCCATAGCCTTCACTGCAGAAGCATACGATGCCATTGGGGACCTCTTTGCAGATCAGCCCAGGCAGGACCTAGATCCTGTGATGGATTTGTTAGCGCTGTATCAAGGGCATCTGGCCAACTTTCCAGACATCATCCACGTCCAGAAAGGTAACACCCTTACGTGTTTTCTGAAACAGTGAAGTTTTATGTGTCAGTGGTATGCACACAGATGCAGTGACCAGGGGCTAAATTTGCCCTGCGTCTGGTTTGCTGGCTTTGGGTTAAATCTTTCCATGTTTGCTCAGGTAAACTGTTGCTAAAAATACAAAAAGGGCGTCGGTGACAATTTTCATTCTGCGCCTAAGGTCTAGACGCAGTTGGGAATTTTACTGGTCAGAGGTTACTGCGTTTGGCTGTGTATCTCTGAAAGAAACCACATCTGCCTATACTGGTGATACATTAAAGATTAATGGGCTTGTTTACAAACCCTGGAGATCAAGTGGTATGAAAACATCTATTACTCTTTGTTGTATGTTAGGTATCTTAAATCTCTGATCTAGTAGGTAATAAATAGGAAGTAATCTCAAGATGCAGGTACTCCTCCAGTTGACCACCTTGTTTGAGGTCTGTGTAGTGGTGCGTGCATTTTGCAGTGTCAGACAGTCAGATGAGATGTTTAAAGCTGCTGGGCTTTCTCAATTCGGCCACGCATTAAACTCTCTTGATGCCCTTGTAAGAATAATGGTCCACCACGGTGTTCTTAGTTGGAGTTGTTCATCCTTTGCCCTTATTATCCTAAAAAGATGTTGTTCACCTGTTATCCTTTCAGCATCTTTTTACCTGAAACAGGCTTCTGAAGTTCAGATTGCTGTTTGTACTCCAAAAATGAAAGAATCATCTGCTCTATAACTAGTGACACTTGTTGAGATAAACAGAAGTTTGTAGCACTATATATGTGTAGATGATTTCCCTGCTGTGAAATTAATGATATTCCTACATGCTTCACCATTGTGAGAAGACTAGCCCATCATTCATTCTTTTTGCTGTTACATTCCTTATCTGTAGTTTTCAGTTTGAACATCAGGGGGGTGTGGGGATTGGAGCCGTAAAAGAAGCCAAGAAAATATCATGTATGCTCTGCAGAAATGGGTGTGTGTAACAGCTACCTGAGAAAATGCATGAGCTTTATTGAGAATTATTTTTTGGAGATTAGTAAGTGGTGGTCTGCATCCCAAGAGACAGAGCTTGAATTGTCAGTCATGGTGATTCAGTCTTTTGTGCCCTTACGTGACGTTTCCAGGGTTCTTGCATCTGGAACAGTACCTTGATCTTGATGATAAAAGAGTTGGAAGAGTTTTTTCAACAGATCAAAAAGGCACGTTTCTGGGAGGTATGCATTATTGCTGGGAAAATCTGAGGAAACAGAGCTGGTACAAAGCGCAGGATTTGTTATTTAAGAAAGTAAGCTTTTCATAAAAATTGTATGCATCAAAGTCAGATTTCCATTCTCCTGTTGAATCTTGAAAATTGTGAGTGGAAACTTAATATTATTTTGAAGAGAGAAGTGTGCGGTCTAACCTTTGAGCAGTTGTTCTGCTAGCTGCTGTGGCGTTGTGTTCTGATAACAACTTTCAGGTATTTTAAATGTGGAGAGAAGGGTGGCCTTGGCAATGGCTCCTGTTTGGCAGTAGAGCATTTTAAAGTGAGTTGTCAACTAATAATAGGATTATCTGTAAGCTTCTGGAAAAAAATAAAGGGAAAGGTTTTTTATTAGGTGGAAAAAAACAGCAGATCATATATACTATTTAAATAATATATCGTCAAGCTTTAAGGCTATATGGAGTTCTTCACTGCAGTATTTTTGGAGACGAGACTTTGAAGAGAGGATTGGGAATAATAAGAGATGTGCTTGACTCAACCCTGTTTCTTTTATAGTTCTGTTTGAATTTGCGCTTACTGGTTAGGTTTACCTTGCTCAATGGCGGAAAGCTCATCTAAATGAGCTTCCACTATAGCAGTGCATGGGCATGACATATGTAGAGTTGATTTTGTGCCAGAGCACTGTCCTGGAGCTGGTTGGAGAAACGTACAGCCAGTCTGCATGCAGCTGTTAATGCTCCAGCACCCCTTGCACTAACACTGCCTTCAACAGAGTGTTATCCCTGGTATATACTTGCCATCAGAAAATGCAGTGGGTTTGAAAGGTTGGTCTCTTGAGTGTCCACATCCTTACAGAACAGGCAAACTGGAGGAAAACTGAGAGGAAGGTTCCCCTCCCCCCGCCCCTCCACCCACTGTATGGCTGGTTTATTACTCTTCAGAGTTACTCATAACAAGATATAAATTTCCAATTCCAAATTGTAAACTTCAGATGAAAATATGAACCGTTTGGTGTTCTTACAATGTAAGAGCTTTCTTTTAAATTTACTATCTGGGATAGTTGCCAGTTTTAAGAATTATTACTCTGTGTATAGACTAAACAAATATCTCTTGGTGATAATAGATCATCTGAAAAAGAGAGTTGACCTGTCTTTCTTCAAGTGTTTTATTTTCTAGTGTACAACTTCTTTGTGCAGTAAAATGACCCCAAAGTGCCCTTAGAAGTGGTAGAAACAGCAGCCGGATTGATGCATTGCTTACATGGCCATGCCTTTAAAAAGCTGAACTCTGAAGTTATGAGTACTTCTCCTTTGTTTTCTACATAGTGCATATATATTGTCCACTTGGAATAAAAACCAAGGCCTTTTCTAGACTCCATTTCTATATTCCCATAGACCTGGGAAGGACCAAAAAATAAAAGTAGCTGTGCCCAAAACATGCCCATGTCTGTGGGTAGAATATTCAACTGCATCGTCCTGTTACGGGTTTGCTCTACTGCAGATAGTTGAACAGCTGCTGAATGTGATTTGGAAGTCTGTTTTGTGGTATGGACTGAGAAGTCTGCACCTCTGGGGTTTAATCATTTCTGCAACTTCTGCAGAAAGAAGAACAGAGAATCTGCAAGTCAGAGACAAAGATTTCCCTCCGTTTGGGCTTTGTCTTTTCCCCTAGAATTACGAACCAAAGCCATGTAAGCCCCACTGTTGCTTCATCTGCCTATCAGCAGGAAGCTTTTAATTGCTCTGGGGTCCAGGTCTTTCTGCCTGCTGTGCTGAGGAGGCTATCATACATGATCTGAAGTGTGCAGAAAGGGATTCTCACTTTGGTCACTTGTGTGAAACGTGAACCAATGGATTGTGGGCATATTGTCAAACTGTTTATTATTAATATTGCAAGTATCTTATGAAATGGCAATAGCTTCAATAGGAGACTTTAAAAGGTTCCTTTCCCTCTCCTTCCTTCATCTTGAGCACCCAGTGTTTAAGGAATTTTCTGTGAGGGAAGGAAAAGTTAAAGTTCCTGCTCCAGAAAAGACAGAGGAAGAATTTGAACTTTTCTGTCCCACATGCCAGTTGAGGATCAATTTGTTAGTGCTGAGAGACCTTACCCGGTTTCGTGTGCACTCCAGTCCAGGTCTGAAGATTCATTGGATTGAGCCCTACAGTGAAGAATGCTCTGAGTTGGAAACCCCACGTTTCCATCTGGAAATGCTTGGTTTGAGAGTCCTGCTGAGGCTGGCACAGAGCATACCAGACCCAAGGCACACATCCCTTAAAAACAACTTGTTGTTTTACAGGTTTTGTTTGCAAAACTAAGCAATTAGGGGAAAACTGGCACCTGCAGGGGTAGGTGATGGCAGAGTGGTGTCTCTAAGCACCCAAATACTTGTATGAATCTAACACTCAACCCCCCCGTAGGTAAATGCTTCTAAAGTGCTTGCATGAAAGTATTCCTGTGCATACCTGTGTTTTTTGGAGTGGAAGATCTAAATATGTTAGATGTAGTCAGTTTTCTTTAGCCTCTGGCAAAACATCTGTAGAAGAGGAATATGAAGTTCAGTAGGCTCAGAAACTAAGCTGCACTTTTGTCATTTTCTTTTGCAGAACTGGTGTATCTTTCACGAAACACTAGATTTCAGTTGCTTTAATTTTGAGGAGAAGAGCAGCCTCCCATCTTCCTTTGTAATGGATATAATTCTTTTCTGTGTTTTTAGGGTCTACTTGTGGAAATTCCCTAGGCATTCTTGGCAAAATCATTCCTAAATATTAATTGGTAGAGCTTTACTCAACTGATGAGATCTTTTGACTTCAGTAATCTTCAACATAAATGCTTACTGCAGGCCCATGCAAGTTCAGGTTCAGAAAAATCTATGCACATGTAAGAATTTGAGATAGTGTATGCTAGTACTGTAGCTCATGCTTGTCTGGCTATCTTGTCTTCATATTTGCTTAGTGAGAGTAGAGAAGTTACAGGTTTTTGCATTTCTTTCTTTCACGTTTTGTTTGAGGAATTACTATAATTGGCCTTTTGTGATTCCTGAAAGTGGAAGAAGCACTGGCTAACTTGCTGTTTTATCTCTGCTTTCCAGATTTCTCCTTTATCTTAACATTGTGATGTTAATACCAGACAAACTTTTAGTTATGATTTTTGCAAAACAAATTTGCGAAAGTGGTCTGAATATCTTCAAAGGTGTAGGCAGGAATTCTGTTTCCTCTGCATGCCAAGATTTAAGAGAATTATTTAAAAAAAAAAATCTGAATGACCTTTTTACTTCTTGATCACTGTTTGTGAAAAGTAAAATAAGGCCAATGTTCTTATTTACCTGAAGCAAACTTAATTCTAGACATTGGCTTTAAAGAATGTGCTGGGTGTGCTTTTAGAATATCTTAAAAAATTATATGGGAAAAAACATTCCAGCTGGAAATGCGTCAAAAATTCAAGCATCAAAAAAACCGAAACAACACTGAAACCTGGAACTCTGTAACGTTTTCAGCAATGGGGTTTTTTTTGCAGGGGGAAGGAGGGGTATATTCACAAATAAATCAGACTGGTCAAAATTCACACATAAAATTTTATTTCACAGTGTGAAAGTAGTGCTATTCTTGTTTACTTTCTAACCTCTTAAATTTGTTGTGCAGACATGTTTTTTTCCATCCCTGTTTTTCCTTTTATCCACCTTCTTTTTTTTTTTTCCCCTGTCCCTCAGGTACGTACACTTTGCATGGGGTTCAACTCAGGTAGCTGCTGGCTAAGAGCTAGGCATGTAATCCTAGCCAGGTGACCCTTAC